CCTGGCACAAGGAACCCAAAGTGCCTGGGTGACAGGAAGAGATAGCAGTGTCTTTGGGTAGAAGAACTCCCAATCTGGGAACCAGATTATCCAAACCCACAGAACCTTGTGAGGTCAGCAATCACAGATTTCCTCAGTGGGTCAATAGGAGTAATGGAAAGTGGAACCTGTCATACTTCTACCCCTTGGTTCTCAGACTCATATATTCTTTATTTAGAGTGATTGATAATTTAGAGTGTGTACTGCATCCTGGAGGATGTACCCATCATTGTAGATTATATTTTTTAAGCTGGAAACTTAGATGTGCATTCAATAGGCCAATCTATTACTCCATTAGGTTGTCAGCTTAATAGTATAAGATAAAACCAATGAATCTCATGGACACGTGCCCACTGCTGTAACTCCTTGGACACCTCTTGTTGTAAAATGTGCCCCTTGGTTCTATAAGATATTAAGCAAAGTTCCATGTCAACATATTAAACATGCTGTAAGCCTTGGGATGGTGGTGTTGACTGAGGCTCTGTATACAGGAAAATCAAACTCATGCTTAGAATATATGTCCTGATGTAAGTGGATGGCTGTTCTTTTTAGGGTGTAATGGTCTAATGTAGTCAAATTGCCACCAAATACTTGGTTAGTCTCTTGGGGTTATATTGGGGCTCATTATTGGCCTCTGTTGCTGGAAGTATGGGTATTCAACAGTGGCGGTATCTAGCTGAGCTTTGATGAGTGGAAGTCCATGCAGTTGGGCCCGACCATGGTCTCTGTCACTGTTAGCAGGGCTACTCTATTTAAACATCAATGTTCTCTATGGTTAATGACAGAGACTGGTTGTTGTCAAGTGGATCTAATTGGTTGGATTATCTGGTGGGTGTTATAATGTGACCCAAATGTCTGTTCACATGCCTCTAGCCCTATGTTCCTTGATATTGATCTTCCAATTTTTCCCTTTCAATGCTCTTGACCAACTAGCAAAGCCATTTGCCTTGGTGTGTAGAAGCATCATTCTGATCTCTGCCTTGATCTTCACATACCGTTTTCCCTGTGTACCTGTCTGTTTGTTCACATGGCATGTTTTTAGGACAACAGTCAGATTGGATTAGGGGCTTGCCTAATGTCCTAATTTTATGGGGTATGTCCTAATTTTAACTTAGATAATTACATCTGCAATAACTTTATTTCCAAATAAGGTCACATTATGAAATACTAGGGGTTAGGATTTCAACATATGAATTTTGGGGGGGACATGATTCAACCAATAAAAATGCCTATAACCAAAATATCAGTCAGAGTTAAGGCAAAGTAATTTTGAGTCATACAAACGTTTTGAAATTATACTTCTCATTCATCCTACTTTTGGAGCTTACATAAAATATGATCCAGGAAAACTAGAGAACAATCTATGAAAGGGGAAGATATGAGGTATGAGGAACAATGGATTCAAAACAGGAGAGTAGTAAAGGGTATTTCCAGGAAGGCACATGAAAAGCAACCAGTTTAGATTGGAGCTACAGACTTGAGGCCACTGGGAAGGAGATCTCCCATGGAAAAAAAAAAGCAATCGAATCTCTATCTGTTGGAATATTTAACATTGCAGGTTTCTGAAAAGATAATCCAAATTTCTTAGTCATTAAAGGAAATTTATTGGCTCTTACAACAATAAAGATGTTTGTCTGGTTTTATATAAGAGTTTTTTGAATAACTAAACTGTGTCACGGGGGAACAAGTTTGTTCTAATATTTGCTGCTGAGATTCTATATCTCATCTTGATCCTCAAGTTAACTCCCCTCATGGATCCAAGATATCTTTTAGCAACTCTCAAGATTACATGTGTCCTAGTTCATACTCACAGAGGAAGAAATGAGCCTTTAAGCAAATGTCTTAAGATTGATTTTGATTACATGTAAAGACCTGATTGGACCCAAAACAATATTTCATTGTATAATTACAGGGAAACAAAAATTGTGAATTTATAGGAGACAGCTTTAACGTTTGTATAGAATGATGGAGAAGACTTACAATGTCAAATGAAAGATATTACTTCTCATACTTTGTGTTCAATGCTTTATTTCTTAAGCCTGATGTTGTCCTGGGGCGGTTCCTAGAAATTTCAACTGTGTAATAAGAAAATCTAATTATTTCAATCCAAATAATCACATTCAAATAGGATCTACAGGGTATATACATGATTGGCTCTAAAATTAAAGAAAATATTTGATGTCATTAAATATTTCAGAAGAAAAATGGATGTAGAATTGGTAGTATAAGTAATTTCTCAATCTGTTTGCATGAATAAAATCTATAGAGTTATTCTTGTGAGCTGAAACCTAAAATAATAACAATAACAAAGCTAACTATAAGTGGCTACTTACTATGTACAGGACACTGTTCTAAATTCCTCAGAGACATTTAATTTATGTCAAATCTACCCATTGAGGCAGGTACTATTATGATTCCTGTTTTGCAGTTAAGGAAATTGAAGTATAGAAACAATATGAAAGTCACCCAGAGTCACGCAGCTAGTAGGTAGCAGAGTCAAGAATTAAACACCAGCGCTCTGACTCCAAGATTGAAATTTTAGACACTTTATCAATAGGATCTTTTAAATTTGTACATGTGAAATTGTGATGGTTGTGGTAGGGAATTCATGTACAGAAATTGTGGATCTGTGGTCTTGTGCTGATCAGAGAAAATCAAAGCAGTGACATTAGGTTGGAAAAAACTGTTGGTGAAGAGCAATAGTGAGATTTAAAGCCAGAAAAAAACCCACCTATGCAAGTTTAAATATTTGAAATTAAATTAACTAGCTTCTTCTATATGTAGATCAGTAAACCATAGAATTGGGCCACATATTCACATGCATGTGGAAATTCAATAGATCTGTTTTCACATGTGTCAAGTATAAATGACAAAAACTGTGTGTTTTATCCTCACTTTTTACTTTTATTTACATACATTTCAGTTTGCTTCTGTATTCCTTGGGCTTTTCTATTTCTGGAGTAGAATCTAGGAGTTTGTGAGCCGTCTCTGAGGATTCAATCTCAGGGCTCTGTGTAAAGTTGGTATTCTTAAAACTATCCCCTAGGTACTAGAAGCCTAATATAAACATGCCCCCATGTGCTGCTCAGAAAGAGGAGTAAGTGTTGTGCTGCTTGATGCTGTGTGTAAGTCTTTTTTTTTTATTTTTTATTTATTTATTTATTTAATTTATTTTTTAATTTTTTGTTTATTGCAGTAACATTGGTTTATAACATTGTAAAAATTTCAGGTGTACATCATTGTACTTCTATTTCTGCATAGATTTTATTGCTATGGAAGAAAGAGATGACTGACTCAGCTGCTGAGTTCTGGGGAATAGGTGTGGCAATAAATGAAGAGACACATGGGCAGAGCAGGCTGAGAACTGGACCATGTGGCCAGCCTGCACCAGGCAGGAAAAAAATTATGTTTTTAAGTGGTAATAAGATTACCTTTAGAATCTTTCAGAAAGATCAAAGGCATTTAATATCATCCTGTCAATGGCATCTGATGAGATAAATTTCTACGGCAGCAGGAAGGAATGAGGATGGTGGAGACCTATTGTTGAGAGTGGGCTTCCAGTGTTGTTCCAAAACAGGCAACAGGAACTCACTAGCCTTGGCTTTGGCCATCATTTTTCTACTAAGCAACGGTTTTTTAATTAGCCAGGATGTCTATATTTTTATAGAACACAATTAAGAGTCAGCGTACCTTGCTGCACTTGGTTTCTCTCTTTTGGACTGAACTCAAAAAAGATAAATAGTTTTTATTTTCACCTTGGTATGTTTCCTACACTGAAAAAAATTATTAAAAGATGGTAAGAAAGTAAAGCTATGACAAGGATGCAAGCAAGGATCTCTACTTTTTATTTTTAATTACAACTGCCATATCACACATCCCAGGATAAGTTTCTTTGTCCCATTTTGAGTGGTTTGAGTCGTTCTATAGCATTTTCAAGGCATGGCTTATGTATCTTTCTCTGTCCCCTTTAGATCATTGCAGAAGTAGATTCCTCTCTATTAAGACACTGCTATCGCAGAGAGCTACCAAAAAAATACCTTCTCCAGTACCAAGACCATCAGAGGCCTTCAGGGTTTTCTACACAGATTCCCAGTGTTTTGAATTGATAGGAGGAGTAACCAAGCAAGTATTGCCTCCATAGCAGTGGTAAAGTTAACACAGGTAACATTAACAGGTGCTCTGAGAGTACCTCTTATGCTGTGGATACTGAACAAAAACGTGCAAATGGCATTAGACAGTGCTCCCTTTCCCTTTCCCAGCTGATACCCTGTGTGGTCTGTAAATCATGAACAATGGCTGTTTCTGCTCCTGGCCAGGCATCTCAAGGAGCCAGGACTTGTCTGAGAATATGTGACTGTGTCTCTTATAATCTGATTTGGTGTCTATGAGAGGCCACTGGGCTTCAGAGCTTTTACATATGTATCTCTATGTCAGTGAATAATAAGGAGTCAGAAGAATTCAGGTTTGATAGAATGAGTACCCATACACCTGGGTCTATGATTTATTTTCATTATGGATTGCTTAAAGACATTTTTGCTTGTTTCTGTAGTGTATTAACTTGGTGCTATGTGTAGTCTTGATGTTTCCAGTGTCACTCACCAGAGAGTGAATTTCTCAGAGTGGAATCACAACCTATTCTCTCCCAAAGTAAATGGCAAGCTCTAATTACTAGAGATCTGCATTGAGCTTGTTGCAAACCTTCATGTTTGGAATTAGAACCCAATCAACAGGCAGAATGGAAATTCTGAATATGATCTTGGCCTGGTCTATCAAATGCCGATATGTCCTTCAGTAACAGGCCTACCCACAAAGCAAACATGACATCAATTCTATGCTGAAACACTGACATAGAAATTGACATACCATCTCCTTCTTCCTCTGATCTCTCTTTCTCTTTTGCTCTCGGTTTCTTTCATTTTTCTCCATGCAGGAGGAGCAGCTTTACCTCCTTTGTCCAGAACATGATGTATCACAACAGGAGCATTTGTCACCCAGCCACATTTTTCCTCATTGGAATCCCAGGTCTGGAAGGGGTCCATGCCTGGATCTCCCTGCCTTTCTGTTCTGTTTATCTTGTGCCTTTACTGGGCAATGCCATAATTCTGCTAGTCATCAAGATGGAGCAGACTCTCCGGGAGCCCATGTTCTACCTTCTAGCCATCCTTTCTACAATTGATTTGGCCCTTTCTACAACCTCTGTGCCCCGCATGCTGGGTATCTTCTGGTTTGGTGCTCATGAGATTAACTTTGGAGCTTGTGTGGCCCAGATGTTTTTGATCCATACATTTACTGGCATGGAGGCTGAGGTCTTACTGGCCATGGCCTTTGACCGTTATGTGGCAATCTGTGATCCACTCCACTACGTGACCATCTTAACATCCCGGGTACTGCTCGGCATCAGCATGTGCATTGTAGTTCGTCCAATCCTGCTCACGCTTCCTATGATCTATCTCATCTACCGCTTACCCTTTTGTCAGGTTCGTATAATAGCTCATTCCTACTGTGAGCACATGGGCATTGCAAAATTGTCCCGTGGAAACATCCGTATCAATGCTATCTATGGGCTTTTTGTCATTTCCTTTTTTGTCCTGAACCTAGTCCTTATTGGCATCTCCTACATTTACATTCTCCGTGCTGTCTTCCGCCTCCCATCACAGGATGCACGGCTAAAAGCACTAAGCACATGTGGTTCTCATGTTGGGGTCATCTGTGTTTTTTATATTCCCTCAGTCTTCTCTTTCCTTGCTCACCGATTTGGACACAACATACCCCGCTATATTCACATTCTTGTTGCCAACCTGTATTTGGTTATCCCACCCTTGCTCAACCCCATCATTTATGGTGTAAGGACCAAACAAATACGAGAGCGAGTGTGCCATGTCTTTACTAATAAATAAGACACCTATCACATTCTTTTACTAAGGATTTTGAGCCATCTAAGAGGACTTTTGTGTTCTTGCCCTAACAAATACCTCCTGGTCTTAACCTATTCCTGGCAGGTTGCAACACAAGTTGATTTTTCCTAGCTTCTGACTAGTGGATTCTAAGACTTGTAGACACTTCATTGCATCTCAAGTTCAAAGGCTAATGGGCTATTCCAGAAGGGAGCTGTGTGACCTCTGCATAACTTCATGCACAGTTCTTGATAGAATTAAGGCTGCTTCTTTTCTGAGGAAAGAACATATTATAGAGGCCTTTGGTACTCTGCAGTAATTAGAGAAATGTGGCACTGGAAATGTGACCCTGTATCCTACTTCATTCATTCATTCAGTCTTTCATTCGTGCTTTCATTTGATCATTCACTTAATTTACATTCATTTTGTGTCTATTGTATGTCTTGAATCATTCTAATTGCTAGGGATAAATCAATGAACCAAACTAACACAAATATCTGGCCTCTGGAGTTGCATTCTGTTGTGCTCTTAAAAAAAAGCCAAGTTCATGGGTTCAAAAAAATCATTGCCAGTTCTGTAGCTTGGATTGGAATGGTCTGCCAAATATGTAAGACTTAGTGGAATGATACCTAAAACAAACATATAATTTCAAACCTATTTCTCACTAATACCAACAGTACCATCATTGACTGCCTCTCTGCATTTAGGACCATAGCATGACCATAAAGTGTGGTCTTGAAATCAAATAACATTTAGTATTTCTCTCCATCCATGTAATGCATTCTGGAGTTTGCCTGTCCTTTTATTCAGTTTTGTTCTCTCTGTCAACACTTGACCTTAAAATACTCCATCCTGAACTCCAGGGCCTCTCATCCTAGACACATGATCTATCTCTAGTTCCCCAAGTGACTTTAATGTACAAGCTGTCAACCCAACCAATGAATAGCTTTTTTTTACATGAGACTGAGGGCTTTTGATTGATTCAATAATAAGATTTCCCAAAGACCAAGCAACGACCTTTTGCATCAACAAACCTGTCACATTGGTTCACATTTTTAAAAAGTAATATTTATTTTCTCTTTTTCAGGCTTTTTAAAAAAGAAACTAATGTAAAAATATAACAAATATCTTTACTCCTACAACTCAGAAATTAATGACTCTGAATGTCACACTCATCTGAAAGATAATGCTCAACAAGACATATACAGAATTAAAGTTGAAATCACATTTAACACTGCCCCTGCACAGTTTCTTTCCTATTTTTTCAGAGGCAAAATCTATCATGTGTTTTTCTGACATCACGGTACAAAATATTTTAGTTTTTTTTTTTTTTTTAATTTTTTGTTTATTGCATTGGTTTATAAACATTGGTTTATAACATTGTAAAAATTTCAGGTGTAAATCATTATACTTCTATTTCTGCATAGATTACATCATGTGCACCACCAAAATACTAATTACAACCCTTCACCACACACATGTACCGAATTATTCTTTTCACCCTCCTCCCTCCCCCCTTCCCCTCTGGTAACCACCAATCCAATCTCTGTGTCTATGTGTTTGTTTATTGTTGTTATTATCTACTACTTAATGAAGGAAATCATATGGTATTTGACTTTCTCCCTCTGACTTATTTC